GGAGCTCCCAGTGACTCCAGCCTTGGTGCTGCTGGGATTGGCTAAAGCACAGCTGGCATACCCATAAGCCTGTGTGGCAGATCTCTCCTGTAAGGGTGAAACCCCCGTCAGCTGCAATCTTAGGAATCCCTCAATCATACCCACTCCAGTGTTTAGTCTCACATGAGAGTCTCTGCTCAGCAAGGATCCTCTGTGCCAGGAGCAGGAGCAACAGTGGTAGGGAACGCTGCACCCAGCGGGTGCCATGATGGGAGGAAGGGTTTCTGTATGGGCTGTGTGGTTAGAGGGTGTGTCAGGAAGGGAAGTACCCAGCACTGCCATCCATTGGTGTGAGAGCTTGAGTTCCAGTTCCTGGATGACTTGATTTCACTTCCAAGTGTTGAGTCCTGGTTCTGACTTGTTTGCTTCCTCCTCAGCTGCTACTCAGCTGCCTGTACTGCCGGCTAACTAGCACCAGTTCTTCAGTGGCAAGCTTTACGTCCCTGTCTAGCAGCTAAAGCTGCCAGTTGAAGAACTGTTGAATGTAGCCACTCTCGTCTTGTCACTTGGGCTCTCTGATGTCATCTGGATGCACGCATTGGGAGAGCAGGATGGGTGAGTTTTCAACTAATTTGGATTAACCACTTCGTGGGCTGAGGGATGACCACCTTGCCAGACTATGAAGAGCCCTCCTTGATCCTGATCTGGAAGCTGTACTGAAAGCAGAGCCCTGGGGTTGTGTGACACTCAAGGAAAGTCTCCAGTGGATACTCTGAGGCTGGGGGACATAGGTTGAACATAAAGGGGAGTAAGTATGTCTCCACGCTAGAGGTGCAGTGCTTGCACCCTGGTAATGTGAAGACCTGCAAAAGAGTCCTAAACAGTTGCCCTTGATGTACAGAGGTTACGTTTGAACCATTAAATGTCTAGAGTAGAGGGACATGGTGAAGGTCTCAGCTGGACTGGGAGCTCTCACCTTGGAGAAATGGGATGTGGTGTCTAACAGCTCTCCAACCTCCATAGGCTTCCATGGGAGATGAGAGCCTGATGCCTAATGTTAAAACATGCAGGAAAAGTTGCCAACCCTTCCATGCCACCTACTGCTGTCAGAGAAGCAGAAGGGCCCAAGCCCAGGTCTGTCTCGCTGATTATCTTTGCAGCCTTCACCTCACCAGCAATTTGGACTTGTAACCAGCTTCTAGTCACAGGAGGGAGTGCACTTGGTCTCACCCAGTAGACCTGGGCTAGCCCTGGGTGATGTGGTAGAACCTCATATTCTAATTTGCTAATAAATGCCTGACTCCAAGACAACTTTCTGTGCTGGTTACAGCCGTGGAGCCTAATTGCTAGGGGCAGCATGGGAGGCTTCCTTGACCTGGATTGATGAGAACAGTTTGGCCTCTGTGGTCTATTCAGTCCTTGACCTCTACTATAGCTGCCAAGCAGGGATCCATTTCACGCCAACTGTGATGGGTTTAGTCAGCAAAGGGCTGCTGAGACCACACTCCAGGCTTCTCCTGAGCAGCTCTTCCTTACCCTCTGACTTGCAAGTTCACACAGCCGTGCTGTCCTGATAGGTAATGGGGGTTCGTTGGATAGGAGTTAGCTGGGCTCACAGGGATGTGCTGCCAGCCCCCCTGTAGGGCAGTGGTCCTTGGGGAGCTGCACACTGTTTTAAGATTTCCAAAGGGGTCTGCAGCTCCATTTGGAATTTTTTTGGGGTCTGCAAATAAGGCTGAAAACCACTGCTGTAGAGCACTGTAGTACTGATGTGGAGATGGGAGGAGAAGTGCCTGGAGAGATGATGGGACATAGGGTGGAGTGGTCATGCTTTTCCCCCAGGAACCAGCATCTTGTGAGGGACAGCCAGGACCTGCCCCACATGTACGGTAGCGTGGTGGGGGGTTGCACTCCTACAGGACCCCCTCAATATAATGGAATGAGAGGAATGTGGTGGCTGCTTGTGTGTTGGGTTCTTCTGACAATAGCTAAATAGCCTGGGGAATGTGGGATCAATGACTGTTCCCCAATCAGGCACCCTGCCTGCTCGAGCCGTGTAAGGGCTACAGAGCAGGTAGGTGCCCCTGTGTCTGTTACTGGAATGTCATTGGTCGGATGACAGTGCTCCGCTTTAGTCACAGCAAGCAGAAGGGCACACGAGGGGCGGGGGAAGTGGAAGCTCTCTGGGGCATGCTAGTGGAGAATCCCTGTGCCCGGAGATAAGGCTGTCTAGTTTGGAAAGGAGAACGAGCGAGTGCTATAGCTTCACCATCACAGCTGCTGAGACGGTAGCGGCTCTCTACTCCCTGCCCTGCTCCCAGCGGGGAGGGATCTGACATGCATGTAGTCATGACACAAGGGCAGTATCACGTCTGCCCCAAGTAACCCATGGAACTTGCTGCTGCAGGGAGAGGCATTCATATACATGTACAGCAAAAGCAACTCTGGCCACGCTGAGAGGACTTTCTGCTCCACAGCGTGATCAGGCTGGGGCAAGAAGAAAACTCCCCACTCCCTGCCATGTGCCCCCATGCCCTGTGCCATAGTGATGCATGTCCTTTAGTGACCATTGCCTTCCTCTGCCATATAGAGCTCTGCGCCGGTCTGGGGCCAGGCCTGTTGTCCTTAGCGATCACAGTCCTCCCTATGTGCAGCACAGAGCAGCCCCGGAAAGCAGCTTGGCAGGTGGTGCTCTTGGTCAGGGACCAGCCAAGCCCTTGCCAAGTGCAAGCTGCTTCCCTCCTGAGGAGGGACCCCCTCCCTGCAGCAGAAGCAGCCTGGAGGCGCTGCTTTCCAGCAGGCCTGCTGACATGAAGTTGGCATGGACTGTGCAGTGATCACACCGGCTTTCCCAGGGAGTGGCCCTCACATGGAGGCTAGAAAGCACAGGTGAGCCTGCCAGACTGGTTTCTCCTCACCTTGCAAGTGTGGGTGGGGAGGAGAAACTGGTCCGATTTAGGAATCAACTCCCCCCTGCTCCCTGGCTGGATTGATGTTCATCCAGGCTGTACGTTGGAACCCCTGGGTTATGAAGCATGTTCACCAAAGGATGCTGCTACATGGCTGATGGTCATGGGGTTGAAAAAAGCTTCAGTGGCACAATATGCTCTTGAAGGAGCCAGACTGAGCACCCAGGCAGGCCTGCTGAAGGCTGAGACAGGTGGGGCTCTCACTGCTTGGAGGCTGAGCTGTTGTAAAGTGGTCTGCCAGGCCATGGCAATAGGGTTATTCCTGCAATGTGTCTTTGGCAGTAATACCATGTGATGGAAGGCTGCCTTCCACTGGCTTGGGCTACTTGGTTCGGTCTGGAACCAGCACAGGCAGCAGCAGGTGCTTTGTCAAAGGCTCTAGTCCAGGCATTTCAATATCAACTTACATTTATACAGAGCTTCCTGACTGCTGGAGTATGTCCATGGATGGTCTTCAGGCTAAGCTCCTCCTAGTCCCTAACTCAGCTGGTTTGGGGTTGGAGCTTGTCAGGCCAGAGCTGAATTTATTTGATCTTCAGTCATTGTTAGGTGACCATGGGGGGGACCCTCTGATCTATAGTCAGTCCCTTCTATTGCAGCTGGCTGGGTTTTCTGTATTGTAAGGTCAGACGTGGCATCTGGCTTCTGCTCAGTGTGGAGCATGTGCTGGAGTATGAGGGGGGGCAAAAAGTTGTTTTGAATGAGGTAGAAGCAATTGCTGTATATGGGGCCACCCTTCCTGCTCTGCTTCCACTTCCTCCATTTCAGCTGTTGCTGCCTTGGACGGGGTCTCCTCAGACAGCTCTTGAAATGTCAGGTGCTGACAAATATAAGGTGCCACAAATCATGTAGCTCTAAAGAATGGGACAACTCTTCTTGCTTTCCTCTGCTGTCATCACCACATGGTTTAGCACAGTTAAATTTTACTATTCTTAGTGCCCCTGTCATCATGCAGGAGTCCATTGTGCTCTGCAAACCACACAACTACTTTTCCCACTGCTAAAATTCAGCTGTATCTGGGGAGGAACACAACAGCTACTGCCACACGGAGGCAGCTTAGGCCAGAAAGTGATTGAATGCTCTATCCAATTAAAGCCAGGGAGATTTTTAGGCTAGCAGAATGCTGTTGCCCAAGTGGAGCTTGACCAGCTCGCACGGCTTGACTCTACTCTGCAAACAGCCATGTGATCGCCAATGACCCAGTCCATTAAATTGCCTGTGGAAAGCAGCACCTACCAGCCAGTTTGGGCACAGGAGATTTTGTAACTCTTCCCTCAGGCACAGAGCCCTTCCGGCACCATCTGGCTGTTCCCGTAAAGTCTCCTCTCCAAGCAGAGATGCAGCCTGAGAGAGCTGATAACATTCCATGCTGGGGGAGAGTGGCACATAACCTAGGCTGGGGGTTGGGATTCCCAGGGTGGGGAGGGGCTGACATGAATCACTAGAGGTAGGAAACACTGAGGAAACTAATGCAATATTTAAGGTTCCCAAGTGATGCTCTTGTCGCAGGCCTCAGCCTAGGAAACATTTAATGTCATCTAACTTGCTCTGGCACTGTGTGCCCATGTTAACTAGTGGGGGTGCAATATTAGTGATAATACATTACACTTTAGTTCTTCAACATAGCACGTGGGGCTAGATTCTAGCTGTGTGAAAGACTTTTATCTAGGCTACAGCTCCCCTTGCTGGAGAAAAGTTGCCTCTTCCTGCTTTGCTGTTAGATGTGCTACTAATCTCCATGAAAGCTCTTCTGTCTTACTGCCCGATATTCATAGGCACTTTTTAAAATAGAGCTGTCAGACTGACTGCATGGTTGGGATACGAGCTTCCCCTGTTTGCTCAGACGCTGGCCACGACCACCTTTCAGCTGAGTTCCAGGACTCTGTGGTAGCCTGCTGTTCTTCAGCCCAACCGTTTCCCCTCTACAGAAGAGAGGACAAGTTATGTCTGGTTGATCCAGCACTTCTCTTCTCCTTCCTTCCCCCCCAATCAACTTTCCCAAGTAAAGAGAAGGGATGCCATGGTTGTGATTGCAGACATGAAAAGCAGGGCTCCTGCTCTGTTTCATGCTGGCTTTTATTTCTCCTAAGCGGGAGGATGCAGGTATGGGAAATGATTACACCTGCGGGGGTGTTACCGAGCCCCCAGGCAGTCTCGCATTAGGCTTGCTTCATCCAGGTTATATCAGAGGACCTGCAACAGAAGAAAGGATGCTGAGGAAAGGCCTGCCTGTGACAGTGCTCTGGCCCAGGCAGGGCTGATGCTAACGAGGCAGCGATAACCTCATGGGGCATGAACTTAGTGGGTCAGTTGAGTTACTCACTGGGCCTCTGCTTTTGAGATTTGTCTGCCAGAGTACATGACCTCGGCTACCAGGGAGACCATGGGGTCAAAGTTCAGGCTGGCAACGGCAATCACATAATCATCCCTGAAAGAGAAAAGCCTCAGCAAATGAGATATTCTCCCCTCCAGACCCCTGAGTGACAGAGCACTGCAGCCTCCTAGAGCTTAAGGGATTGCTGGTTCAGGGCCAGCTTTATTCTGATCGGCTCTGAGCTGGGCAGGAGCTGGTATCCCCATGGGCAGAGACGGTGGAGGCTGTCCATGGCAAAGTGTGGGTCTGTTAAAGTGCACAGTGCCCATGGGGATCAAGCGCTGAATGGGTTAAGAGTCGGGTAGAGTGAAAACAGATGCTATCCCGCTTCCTACTTCTCCCTTCCTCTCTCCAGGGCTGATATGCCTCAGTCTCTGAATCCTGGGACCCTACAGTTTTAATATTGAACCTCAAAAGGAAGCTTTTCTATAAACCAGGGAGGCTGTTGAAAGATCTGTCAATCTTCTTCTCTGGTGGCCTGTTCCTCCCTCCTTTCCATGCCCCTGCCACACCATGCAGCAGCTGGATGGACAGCAATCCTGTTGTGCACACTCTTGGAAGGGTGGTGTGGAGCATGCCCCCTGCCGTACTGCCAAGGACCATCCCCCCCGAGCACCATGGACATTGGTGCTGCATCCTGCACAGGAAGAGTAAGTTCTTGGCAGATTCACTAGCCGGGTCTGGCTCTGACTTGCCAAGAGTTCCAAGCTAATTGGGCTACAGAGTCACTCACTTGATGTAAAAGACCAAGAACTTCAGCTGCTCCAGATTTCCCTTCACAACAGTCTCTGTGTATCCTTTCCCATAGCCTGCAAACACAGAAGATGCAGTGGGGCCTGGGTCTGGGCCGATGCCTCCATGCCCCTTAAGCTCAATGACCAAATAACTGCAGGTGTGGGGGGGAGACAGCTCAGTAGACCAGTGGAAGGACCTTGAGGTGAGAGCGGGGCTGTATGTTCCATGCAGTTAGGGCTCTGGCTGTGGCCAAGGGGAGAGAGGGTGACCCTTGTCCCTTGGGGACATGACCTCTGACCCTAATGTCCTAGGCTATGACTTGACACTGTTTTCTGCTTTCAGCTGTAGCTTCCCCAAAGTAAAGAAGGGGCTTGGGGGTGGGGGACTTCTCACCCTCACTCTCTCTGATTGACTTGGAGAATGGTTCAAACCTCTGTCCGGGTGCTTATAAGGTCCCCATCCCTGCAGTATCTGAGCACCTAGCTTTGCACAGGTATGGGGCGGGGGATGGTGGTTTCTGCTCCCCTCCCACCTGCATAGCGGATGCTTTTTCCAAGCAGCGAGGTCCAAAAGAAAGGAACGGTGTTCAATGCCTTCTGCTTCGTCAGCATGTTTAAAGCAGCAATGTGACCTGAAATGACCCAGAAAACCCCAGGAGGGGAGAATGTATTTTTCCAGAAGATACTTTCACGGGAGACTTTTAAAACTTCAGGTTCATCAGCTCTCTCATCTTGAAGCCTGGCTCCTGCCCTGGCTCAAGGTGGGAAGCGGGATATTGCTTCCAATGACTGACTTGGGCTGGCAGCAGCAGCTACCCACCTCTAAGTGCATGACCCCTTCCCCTTCCTCCCTTTGACATTTGGTCATAGCTGGCCCCATTGCGTGGCATGTGGGCTGGTCAGTGGAGCTGGTTTGGTGCATAGGTAGTGGCTGTCCATGTCTTGGAGCCCACTTGCCCCAGGCACAGGCCTTGCAGCCTTGTGACCATTTCTCAAGCCTGTTTTTCCAGCTGTGTTGGGAAGGGAGGCAGACACAGATAGTGCTAATGCTGCTGTAGTCCCTCACCATGAGCCTGTGCTATCTGCCAGTGACGGATGGTGGCGGTCATCCCACCGAACAGTGTGACTGGAAATGAAGTCACATCTCCAGCAGCAAAGACTCTTGGGACGTTGGTTTGCATGAACTAAGAGGGGAGAAGGGGGTGATTAGTGACCTAGAATGCACGGCCCTTTAAACGTGATGTGTGCATGCCTCGCAGGAACTTACGCACCAAATCCACCAGGATGGCGCCTCCACGGTCCATAGCAATTGAAGTGTCCTTCAGGAAACCTGAGTTGGAGGTGACACCTTGGGGAAAGACGAAGACACGCAAGAGGTGTGGCAGGAGCGTGAAGAAAGCTCATGTAGGCCAGTGCAGGGGGGAGCACAGCTGTTTAAGTATCATTCAATCCCGCATGGGCTGGAGTTGGCAAAGCACAGTAAGAACAAACCGCAGCATATGGAGGGGAGGGTGACAATGAGAGCTGCATGAGGGGTACAGGCCGGGGGCTGGCTGAGCTTGAAGAGGGGTAATCAAACCCCAGCTCTAAGCAGGACAAGGTATTTTGGTAACGGGCGCAATGAGTGTAAGAACGGATCCCTGGGGGGGACTCCTGGAGCAGCACTACAGGAAGGGAGAATGTGAGGCAATCAAGTCACAAGCATGTCCTGCTCAGGGCATCTTGGGGGGCTGGGGTTGGTTGGGGCTAGGGTAGAGGGAGTAATTATTCTCTTGGGAGTTAGTCTTGGAATGTGAGCTAGCCAGGCTCTGTTTTACGGTGGGCAGCATTGCTTTGGGTTTTAGCTAGTGTTGAATACGCAGAGGTCCTGGAAGGTGAGGGGCAGCATAGATACGGACGGTGTCTACATGAAGCAAAGGTGTACTGGTTAGTCTCTTACCTATTCCCACCACCACCACATCTGCAGGTAGCTTCTCTCCACTGGCCAAAACAGCCTCTGTAACCTAGGAAAGAGGCAACACCATTCACTGAGATGCTGCCTTAGAACCTCCTCCCCCCAGACACCCCTTCCCCCCTGCCAGCCTGCCCTCACTATGGTGCTTTGCTTCCCCAGACCCTGGACCACCCAATCCATGTTTCTGGGCCCAGGAGACTCTGATCCTAGGGGCAGTGGAAAGCAAGCTAGTGCCTGTGTATGTGAAACAAGTGTAGAGTTTAGTGCCCTGGGAGACTGGAGATTACGCAGGCTGTGGAAGGAACACGGGTTGGGAGTGGAACGGTATAGGCCCAGAGTGGAAGCAGATTTTGGGAGCAGTCCAGGTGTGGAGCTGGTGTTAGGGACTTGCTAACCTTTCTGTTCTCTCCTTGCAGCTCAGAGATTTCAGTCTTCATGTAGAATTTCACTCTTTTATTCTGCAGCATCTGAAACAAGGAAGAGGAATTACCCCAGCCCAAAATAGCTCTTCTCATCAATGTTCTATCCCTGATTAATTCAACAGTTACACATTCCTCCCCTTCCAGAAACCCAGGCAGATAGCTGCCCACTAGGGTTCTCCGAGTACCACCCCACCTTCCCAAGCAGGTCCTGTGGATGAGAGAGCTGGCATCTCCTACAGCTGATGGAGGAACAGCCACGCCCCCAGTCTGTGCTCAGACAGGGGAGCCCTAGCACATAAGGCGGGAATATTAGCTTGGGGCAGACAGGAGACCAGTGTGGCTAGGGAGGGATGGATAGGAATAGCCCATGTGTGTGCACATGAGGCACAGCTGTCCAAACTGGTGAGCTGTGTGCAAGGTGGGTAGGGAGGGGTAAGTGTGGTGTCTCGGGCACAGAGTGGGTGGGAGGTTTGCGCTCGCTGTGTGACTGTGCGTGTGCAGTGTAGGGCTTCCACACCACTTGGATCTGTGTGCATTCTCTGTCCGCTATTAACTATACCTTCATGACAACACCTCCAACCTGAGGCCCCAGCACTGCCTGGAAGGGGAACTCCTCTCTTCCCACCACGCAGATGGTGCTGGCCTTGTCTGAAAGGAAGGCAGCAACCTCCATCCCTGCACACAAGGGACATGTATGTCTGCAGTGAAATTGGCACAAGTACCCCACCCCTGGCACCAGCCTTCTCCCTGGAAATAGAGATGAAGCTGGAAATCTTTTACCCATGGGGGTGGGAAGTGTGTCAGAGATACTGCCCCTGCTGCCTGCTTTTATACAAGTATCACTCTCTAGTATCCTGAATCTTCTGGGATTCACCAGGGATCCAAGTACCAGGAAGGGCAAAGAATTCTCCATCCCCCTATGCACCCCACTAGCTGCACTTCAGGCCTGTTTGCCTCCCCAGGGCACAGCAAACCCCCACTCTCCCAGATGGTGCTGAACAAGGCAGCCTGCACTCCTGAAGGATGAGGTGACACCTCCATAAAATAAATCCCCTTCCCCCAGGTCCAAGTGCTGTTTGCAGTTTTTGGTGCTTCCAGAGGAATGGCTTGGGGTGGGGCACCCCCCACAGAGTAATGCACAGCCCAGAACAGCACGGAGCGGCCACCCACCACTGAGCATCGCAGCCGCTCTTTGCAAACGGCCTTTGGTTAATCAGCACACAGTGAAAATAGATTTCAAGGCTCGGCTTACAATTAGTGATCTGACCCCACCCTATTCTGACTCACTGTGTGAAGTCAGGCAGCTGCTACGCCAGTCTCGTACCAATGAATGAAGCGCCTAGAATCACCACCCTCTTGCCAGTTGCTAGGTGGAGAATCCTTTTAGCATCCTCTGGGGTTTGCAGGGAACACACGTTCTCCAGGTCTGAGCCGGGGCACTGGAGCTGCCTGGGGCTGTGGGAGTGGAGACTTCAGTTACAGTTGCTGTGCTTATTAAAAGGCAGCTGTGCCTGCCCTCTCCCCCTGTGAGCAGGAGGTCAAAGGCCTGCTGCCCTCTTCCCCCCTCAGGCCCCCTGTGCTGAGCAAACACATGGCTGCCTCACTTTCTCACCTGCTGCCTGTCGCAATGAGGAGCTGGTCGTACCTCTGGAAGGCCCCATCCTGGAAATGGGCTTTCTGCCCCTGCGTGTCCACGGACACCACCTGCAGCACGGAAAGGCACGGGGCAGTGTTCTGTTCCTCCGTTCCACAGCCTGGCTAAGTACACGTAGCGCATAGCCATGCAGGGACCTGTGCGCCCCCAGCCCAGTCTGCTCTTTGCACCCAAGGACAAGGTGGGAGAATGCTACGGTTCACAGTTTGGAGCCAGCCATCCCAAACCTCCAGTGTGCCGTATGCCCCCTTCTAAAGTCACCTCCCTCCCATGCGACTGCTGCCTGTCTGCCACTAGCTTACCCACATGTACCAATGCACCAAAACATGTACAGCAGTGCCCAGCAGGTAAACCTGACTTCGGTGTGTGACTCCCAAGATGCACTGTGTGTGCCCAGGCAGAGTGACTAATAGACCCACCATTCTAGAGGAGAACTACAGTATTCTGCAGCAATGGTCCCCTGCTCCCAGGCCAGTGTTAGGGACAAGGACTAATCTTTTGATAAAGATGAGCTGCTGCCGCTCCTTCACCTCTTTGTCAGTCCAAACTTCTATGCCATGAGCCTCAAAGAAGTCCTGCTGCCTCAGGTAAATGCTCTCTAGTGTCTTATCCATCGCCTGGAAGTACAGCAAAGCAACAGGAATGAGGAGCAGCTCCACAACGCCAATCACACTGTTCAAGAGGTTAACAGCACCTGACCTGCAATCTGGATTCCTGGAGTTTCCTTATGGGAAATGTTCACAATGGGCAATGTGTTTCCTTATTAGTAAATCGAACTGCCCTCCCCCCAAGCCAACCATGTCTACAGCAGGAGGGGGCTGCAGGGAATGGGGTAAGATCACTGGCTCAGAACTGCTTCTGTCCAAGCCTGTTCCACCAGGAGGCACTATAGGGAGTGGGTCAGGGACATTTGCTGAACAATGTAACCAGGCTCTGCTCACAGCCCTAGCTAACGGAGCTCTGCTGAGGCAGCTGGAGCTCTGACTGTGGTTCTCTGACTGAAGCTTTTACTAATTCCTGTCCTCCCCCTGCCCTCCCCAGGCCATCCCCTCAATCGCAGTTCTTAAGAGAAGCTCTGGCCATGCACAAACCTTGCTTAGTTGGGTCCTGTCATATGGGACATGCTTTTCTTTGGTTACCATGATGATCCTGCCTGTAAAGCCTTCCTGACGAAGTGTTTCTGCACAGACCAGTGCAGCTGCACCTGTGAGAGAAACACGAGTCTCACCCATTCTGGCACGACTCACCAGCCATGCAGGAGGAAAGCGCCACTGGCGCCCCGGAGAAGAGCCCAGCAGACCCAGCATGTGCCCAAAGGGCTGACATACAAACTACATGACCAAAGCACAGGTGCTTGTGTTCAGAGCTTGTCTACTGATTCACTGACCTTCACCCAGGAGCAGCATTGTGTTCTCATTGCTCCTGCATCGCTCACTCATGGCCTTCAGCTTTCGGTCACTTTCAAGGTCCTGGCAGAAAGAAAAGAAGAAATTATTCAAACAATGGTAACTGGTCCCTGGACCACCTTTGCTGTGGTTACTCAGTGAGAGCAGGTGAGGTCAGTACCTTTTTTTTTGCAGTAATAAATACCTTCCCGTCTTCCACTCGCACCTGCAAAGACCGAAGAAGAGTGGGATTTCAGTGCATAGCTGAGGCTGCTGGGAATTTACTGAGGAGTCTCTGTTTTGGAGTGTGTGTGTCCTGCAGGAGCTGGCTGCTACCAAAGCCTGTGTTACTCTGGGGTCAAGTGGCACTAAGGAGGAGGGTGGGCATTGGAGGTGGGCTGGTCTTCAGTGAAGGCACGATGAGGATGTGGAACTAATAAGACAACCTGATGCCAAAGAAGCAACCCAGGGCCTTCGGCCTAAGGCACAAAGCTAGAGCAGCCCTAAGGGAAAAAGAAAACGTGCTGGACGGTCTCGTGTTTCACTCTTCTGAAGAGTGAAGAGAGTTAGTGCCCCTCTGCGGAAGGTGGGCTTGGGCAGGTCACATTTGGACTCTTCTATCCAGCTGATCACCCAAGCCCACAGAACACCGCGCTCCACCTGACAAGCTCAGAGTGACCTTTAGGCACCTTTCAATGCCAAAGCAGCACAAACAGACACTGCTAGCACTTACAGAAGTGTTACATGCTTGGTCTTCAGAGAGTTGTGAGAATCCTTCTTCCTTTCAAAAGCGCTACTAGTCAATGTGGGGCAAGGGGCCTAACAAGGCTTCTGAAAAGGCATTTAGGTCCTAGAGCCAAATGGTCCAGAAAACCAGTTCTTCAGTAACCAATGTGGAGAGCGGTGGCCAGGGAAGAGAATTCTAACACTTCCGCAGAATTGCTGGTGAGGCCAGGGCCCAGGCTGGGACTGTAATGGATGAGGCAAAAAGGGGAGCAAATACAGAGTAGACAGAACAAGCTGGGGTGTAGAATGGAAAGTAACAAGGATAATGTCACCTTAAAGCAGGGAAGACAGTCCAGAGTTGGGTACTCCTCAATGTCTCCAGTTCTGATATTGAAGCAGGCACCATGCCAGGGACAGCGCAGTCTGTTACCCGCCAAGACTCCTGCAAGTCACACACCAAGGAAAGTGTTGTCTAGTGAGTAGAACAGAACTTCTTGTCAGGACTCCTGGAGTCTATTCCCAGCTCGGACTGTGATGTGATGTACCAGGGGTAAATTGTTCACGTCCGCAAACTGGGTTCAGGATTTCTTGTTCTCCTCATTGGGTGTTGCGAAGCAGCGCTGTGTACCTCTTCACTATCCTTGAGAAGTACTGTATGGGGGGAGATCATTTGGGGAATCCTGTGTACAACTTATGAATTCTGGTTGATATTATGGACTCTACATGTATCTAGACTAAACTGCAAACTCCATTTGGATTGCAAGGCTGGTCTGGTTCCTGGTAAAAAGGTTTCTGGTAAAAAGACCTCCATCTTGGGCTGAAATTTCCAGAGGTGTTGACAAAGGACTAACAATGGTGTGTTGTTAAACCATTAGGTCTTCTATTCAAGTGGAGGCCCCCATGGTCAGTGAGCTGACTACTGCTCAGAAGCACCAGTTTACCTGGTGGGCTGGTAACAAGGCAACTGATCACCTTGTGGTGGGGAATTCAAGCTGATTGGAGGTCAGCTGACAAAGGGGACTGAAAGTTATAAAAAGAAGGGCCTCTCACAGGGCATTTCAGGGTGTAGAAAGCCACTGCTTGTAGGGCGTAGAGAGAGTGACTCTATGTTCTGGAGGAGAAGCCATGTGCAGGAAGGAATGGAGAGAGGAAAGACCCTGGACTCCTTAGGAGACTGCCCAGTTCCCACAGAATGCTTGAGAGTGGTGAGGAAACTGAGGCAGGAAATGGCATGCTGGTGTAACTGTTTAGCCCAGTAAAGAGTGATTGTTTTCCAAAATCCCTGTGCAAAGGTGTCTGTTTGCGTCCATTGGCACATCTCTAAAAGGTTAAGCTGTGAACCAGAGTGCCCACAAGGTGGGAGCTCTTGAAAAGAGTGGGAGAGGGGTCAGCAATGGTCCTGGGAGGCTAGAGTAGCCAGACATGAGGTCCCACTTCTGTGAAGGGGTACCACACAGACACCGTGTGCCCAGGAAGCGAGCTCGAGAGGCCAAACAGAGTCAGTGCTGCAGCCTACTCAGAAGAAGGGAGGCTTTAAAGCAGCGTTTCTCAAATGTGGCCACCAGGGGCTTTTCGTGTGGCCATGGCCTCCTGGGTGGTGATGAGGGGGGCAAAGCAGTGGCCCCTCCCCCAGGGCTGCCAGCAGGGGGTGGGCCCTGTCCCCCTCTGGAGTCACAAACGCTGGAGGAACAGGCAGGCGGTGGGGTTTGGGCTTCAGATCCGGGGTGGTGGGCGACAAGTTTCAGCCGTGTGGCGGCAGGCTCCATCCCCTGGCCACAGGCTTTGAGCCCTGATCCTGGCCCCAGACTCACCCCGCCCCCCCCAACCTGCTGCCTCCTCTGACCCTGGGCTCTGGCCGTGCAGCAGTTGGCTCTGATCCCCAGATGTAGGGTTTCAGATTCCAGCCGTGGGGCCACGCAGTCCAGCCCCCAGCCATGTGGCAGTGACTGCCGGCCCCAAGCTCACCTCCCCCCCGCACTCACAACATCACCCCTGGCCCCACTGCATCCTCTGGCCCCAGTCCCCATCTGCGCAGCTGAAGGGCTCTGGTCCCCGGACTCACCCCCCCCTCATCGCCCCTGACCCCCAGCTGCCTCCCTACCCACCTCCCCATCCAGGGTTTAATTTGTCCCCCAGCTTGCCAGGGCTGAGTAAGTCTGTTGTGAAAAGTGATATTTGTATGTTTGTTAATATCACATTTCACTGCCTCCCTGCTAGCTAGCAAGTCTGCTGATGTGAAAAGTGATATTAACAAAATACTAATATCACTTTTCACAGAAACAGACTTACTACCTAGCAAGTCTTAAAAAAATAAGCAACCACAAAAAGCAAACGGAACAACAACAAAAAGGGACAAGAACATGCAAAACACATTATTTGTTTCTGTTCTGTTTAGGTCCAGTAAAGAACAGAGACAATGGTACATTTTTATTATCGAGTCTGCAAAAAGACCCTACATAAATAAATTAGTGATTTGGACATGTATATGTGCATATTTATTTATTTTTCCTAAAGTTAATTGAGTATTTTAGGAAAAATTATCAGAGCGGCCACCAGCCATAGGTGGTGGCTGCACTCTGAGGCCACCAAAACATTTCTTGTGAGAACCCCTGCTTCAAAGCACCCTGGTACATGTGGGGAGGGAGCCAAACACAACCGTCTGGTGAGTGTCCAGCAGGGGGCGCTTGGCCACAGACAAGGCCAATGACACCCTGCTGAGGCACTGCAAGGCAGCCCCCTGAAAAGCAGCTGAATCCTGGTCCACTTCCCACCGGGGGGCTGGGCTGTCCCTGACTTGGGGGCGACAGTGTGGGCTCCCCTTGCCCTTTCGCTCAGAGGGGCAGCGAGACAGAGCTCAGCCTGCTAGGCAGAAGCATTAGAAAAGCGGCAGCTCCTGGAGAGAAGCTGCCCATCCGCTGCACAGTGTCTCCTTTGACAGCGTCGCCTCTTCCTTGCGTTTGCCCCTGGCCTGAGCTTTGCCTGGCAGCTGGGGATACCCGCCGGGTTTTACCTTTGCTGAGAGAGGCTCCGGCGTGTGTGCACTTGCTCCCCACAGCACTGAACTCCATCTTATTCCTCACCAGCAACACCGTGTGGCCTGCAACCTCCACTTCCCGCAGCCTGCAGGAGACAAGCACAAGCCGACATGGCGAGCCTGGACCCCTGGACGGCGGAGGCAATGCCTAGACCGTGGGGCCACCCGGGGGCAGCTGCCATACCGGACTCCTTGCTTGTCCCGCGAGAGCCTCCAAAAACCACGGCAATGGGGCTGGTGTTTCTTTGGCTCCGGGCCCCCTACAGCCTCTCTCAGTGGGCTTTTGCGGTGCTGGCTTCTTCCTAACCTGCCTCCCCCTCCTGGGTGACAGGAGTCCCAGACAAGCCGCCTCTTAGGAATAAATGAAGCCTTGTTGCTGAGGAGCAGAGCAGAAACAGAAGCCCCCAGCACACCCATCTCTTGGGGCCGCTTTGCTGAGGCAGGACCCGCCCCCCCCACGTGCTAATGCAAGGTGCCAGCAGGGGATGCGGGTGGGGCTGGGGGGACTATCGGGTGTCACACAGAGGTTGGGCTGAGTTCAGCTGGAGGGGGCCTGGATCAGGTCTGTCAGCACGTGCTGGTGATGGGAACTGGCCTTTCACATTACCCCCAGCCTGCCACGATCGACACTCACTCGCCATCCTGGACGTCTGACTCCTGGCAGACCTGCTCTGTGATGCTGTCTTCAGTGTCCATGCTTGTGGGCGCCGGTCTCAGCAGCTGGCTGGCTGAAGACAGAGCAGAGAGGAGTCAGGGATGGGAATGGGGTGCTGCAGCAGAGCATTCTGGGAAGGCTGCTGCTCGGTCATTTTGCTCTCAGAGTTGTTGACGTGACATCTGTGTTATGACCTCATCACCATGTAACGATGCACCTCAGCATGAAGACACAGACCCCAGAGTGACTTTGGGAATAGTTCTCTAGGCCGCCTGGCAGATTGCAGACCTGTCTCAGCCTGATGGTG